AGGTAAAGGTTAAGCAAGGTTTTGAGGGATGCATAGGAGTTCACTAATAGACAAGGTGATTAAAGTTTTCTCTAGAGAAAAGCAGGACATGTTCAAAACTGTGGGAGCAGAGCAATCACAGTGTGCTATAAGAGAGAGCTTAGATTCCATCTTGAAGTGCTTTGTATAGTCTATTAAGGAGTTTGGAGCAGGGGAGTGACACCATCAGATAGAAATTTAGGGGTCTGCAGTGGGGGAGGGGTGCAGTCATGGAAACCAGCAAGGACCTTCTTGTAGTGAGTCCTCTCACCTCCCACACTTCTGGCCTACACCCCAGCTCTTGTATGCATAAATAAATAAAATAAATCTTAAAATATTTGTTTTAAGTTTTTTTAAATGTTTCAATTATAGAGGTTTTATAATTTTTTTTAAGATTTATTTTTATGCATACAAGAACTGAGGTTGTGGGAGAGGGAGGTTGCCGGGGAGGGGTAAGAGGATTCACCAGAGGGACAGAACAGGAGAGACAGGAGAGGTCTGCTGAGGGTTAGGTCCCAGGCTTGGGATTGAACAGTAGCTGGTGATTGCTTGATAGCACTGAGACTTTAACCCCTGCCCCACCAGGGAGGTCCTGGCTTTATAATATGTTTTAAGGTTTAATAAAAATGTCTACAGCCCCCTCCATCTCATACTCAGTTGCTTCTGTTTTTCAGTTTTTCCCCCTGATTATTCTTGTTTTATTCTTCCTTCATTTCTTCAAATGAACTTTGCAAATGTTAACTTATCTAGTCCTACTTCCCCTCTACTCCCAAGAAAAAAAAATGGTATTTTTATTTGGATTCCAATAATGTGTACATTAGCCTAGAAAGAACTAACTCCTTTGTGATGTTGTATCTTCCCAACCAAGAGCAGATACTTTCCATTGCCAGCTCTACTTTCCACGTTTCAGAAGTATTTATGATTTTTCTCATACAGGTTTGGACATTTCTGTTGACATTTAATCATAAATAGTTTATACTTTCTTTGGCTTTGCTATCATAACCTTGATATTTCCTCATCTAATTGGTTTTGCTTACTTGTAGGAAAACTTCGGGTTGCAGGTCAACTTGGGGGAGGGGGAGAGACTTGCCATCCAGTACACCCATGTTGGTTGGCCTCCATGGCTGACCCACTCCGGGCTTCAAGTACCAGCTTCCTGCTCCTCTACCACGTGTCCTGACGGGGGCAGGCCCCAGGCCATGCCTCTCCCTCAATTTATTCAAAGACTTGCTTTCCCAGCTGACTTCGTGCAAGCAGGAGGCTCTCCAGCAAGCCAGGTACGAAACAAACTACTGACACTGAATACTAGAAAAGACATGTTGAAGTGTTAATAAAATAATGGCTAACAGAGGAGGTGTCAAAGGAGAGAAATGATCAATATGCATCTGGGGAAGATTTGAGCTTTAATATTCTTTCAATGAAATCCACAAGTGACTTCCACATTTCCTTCCATTGGAGACAATGATTGGAGACAAGGAAGCAGATGTCTTAGAAACTGGTCATCTCTTGGGACAGCTGACAGAACTTTCTAGGACCATACATCTCCTCACCACTGTGAGTAAACTGAGCAGGTCTTTTCCAAACAGCAGGTTTATACAGGAGGAACAAGAAGCATGAAGATAGACTATGAGGAGGCACGACTGGGGCCCAAGTACCCGGGGGGAGGAGGCCAGGCAGGCTGAACCCAACAAACATTTCCAATTTGTAACCCAAACCTTCAACCTCCTCCCAGCAACATATTGATGCCTGCGGGGCTTGTGCAAAGCTGGGAGATGTGAGGAACCCCTCCAATATCTTTCCATTGCTTTTCAGTAAACTCCTAAGAGAAGGGATTAATTTAAATTAAATTTGATACAAGCAGGGAGTGGCTATCCTTATATCAATGCATAGGTCAGTCCAGCATATTAGAATAATTTCATCACATTTTAATTATCTTTTTTTGTACCTCTTTTTTAAAAAATTTTTAAATTTTGTTATTTTTATATTCCCCATACAATTGCAACCCCCTGATTTTGACCCCAATCCCTCCTTTCCCAGCCCACCCCCCCCTAGTGTGTCTCTGGTTCATAGTTGTTTGTTGATTTTGGTATTTTCTTTCTTATAGTTATTCTTTTTCCTGGTCCCTTATTTAAGTTTTCTAGATTCCTGCTATGAGTGAGACCATCCGGTATTTTTCTTTTTCTTTCTGGCTTATTTCGCTGAGCATGATCCCTTCCAGCTCCATCTATGTTGCTGCAAATTGCATGTGTTTACCTTTTTTGATTGCTGAGTAATATTCCCTGGTGTATATGGACCACATCTCCTTGATCCAGTCATCTATTTTTTGGCATTTGCGTTGTTTCCAAAGCTTAGCTATTGTAAATAGTGCTGCTATAAACATAGGGGTGCAGGTGCTCTTTGGGATTGATGTTTCTATGTCCTTTGGGTAAATACCTAGGAGTGGAATTGCTGGATCATATGGAAGCTCTATGTTTAGTAGGTCAAGAAATCTCCACACAGCTCTCCATAGTGGTTGGACCAGTTTGCACTCCCACCAACAGTGCAGAAGAGTTCCTTTTTCTCCACATCCTCGCCAACATTTGTTGTTGCTAGTTTTTTTAATATGTGCCATTCTCACTGGTGTAAGATGGTATCTCATGGTAGTTTTGATTTGCATTTCCCTGATGACAAGTGATGTTGAACATTTTTTCATATGCCTGTTTGGCCCTAGAAAGTTCTGTCAGCTCTCCCAAGTGTATTTGTGCCATAACAACAGACCTAGCCTGATGTCATCAGAGTGACCTCAGCCCTTACCATGTTCCTGGTCCAGAGAGCCGGGGCAGGGGTGGGTGGAGGTACACTGTGTTGTGGGCAAATTAACCTGCGATTAATCCACTCTAGGGATAACCTTGTCCTGGCATTCTCACCGACTCTCCTTGGCCCCAGACTGGCAGTTTGCTTTAACATCCAGCTCCTCTCAGCCACAAGCCACCCCTCACTTAGTTCATCATTTTGTGTCCTTCAACTGTGGTCAACTTTGTGCATCTCTTGTTGAGAGTATGGACTCCTTGAGAGTAGGGATCGGGGCTCACTTCTTTTTTTTTTTTTTTTTTTTTTTAATAGAGGCATGTTTATTTATTTGTTTGTTTGTTTTGTTTATACATGGTACATTCATAAGTGCGGGAGGGTGAAAGAATTCACCAGAGCCAGAGTAGGGAGCAGAGCAGGCAGAAGGACCGAAGTACACTGCTGAGGGGAGCAGCGGGCGGCAGGAGAGGTCTGCGCGCCATGTGGGACCCTCCTCAGGTGGCTGGGGAGCAGCCGGGGATCGAACCGGCGCCGCAGAGGCCGCGGGCAGCTTCGCAACCCAGCGCTCAACCGCTGCGCCACCGGGGAGGCCCCGGGGCTCACTTCTTGTAGTGCTCTTGAGTGCTTGCTACTGGGATTTGTAGCCAAGTTACAAGATGACACACCTAGCCAGCCACCTGAGAGCCTGTTCCCAGCCCTCCCTGTGTCTCCAGTTAACCCCTAGCAGCAGATGGTGCTCAGAGAATAGCCACGGCACCAGCTCTACCCTCATATGGGGCTCTTCAGAATCTTGCATTTCCCCTTAAGAAGTAGAGTGTATTTTCCCTTCCTTGGAGCCTAGACAGAACTCTGTGTCTCAGCGAAATGGACAAATGCAGTTGAGTGACACACTGTAATCCCCAAGGTTTCCTAAGAGGCAACGAGGCTTCTCCTGGCTCTCCACTGTTAAGTTCATCCAGGGAACCCAGTTACTACAACGCTTTGGGGACACTCAAACTTGCCTGGGTAGAGAGGTTGGATGGAACAGAGACTTCCCCACCCCTGTACCAGCAAAGAGCACTGTCTATTAGCATGTGAGTGAGCAAGTCTTCAGAGGATCCAGCATAGGCCTTGATGTCCTGCAAGAGAAGCCCTGACACTGTGAAAGAGGAGACAAGCTGTCCCCATTCCTCTTTATCCAAAACCCTGAAAGGCAAATTCATGGCACATGGAAATAGTCATTCATCCCCTTGAGTTTGTGAGGATTTGTCACACAACCTTAGTAACTGGAATACTGTCCAGTCATGGCCAAGCCACTTCTCTTTGGGGCTGAATAGACTCTTTTACAGAAAGAGGGCCTCCTCTCCCTTCTCCTAGCAGCTAATTCTCCTTCATTCCTTCTTTTCTGCACATAACTAATGTTTACAATTTGGTGATTTTGGACATATGTATCCACTTGTGTGACCATCACCACAATCCAGGAATAAACATATCCATGATCTCCAAAATTTTCTTTGTGTTCCTACTAGTGTGTGTGTATGTGTGTGTGTGTGTGAAGGCCAGTTAACATAAGCTCTATTTTCTTCCATTTTTAAGTACACAATAGCTTATTGTTAACTGTAGGCATTCTGTTGGACAACAGATCTGGAACTCACTCCTTTTGGATGACTGTAACTTTATATCCATTGAACAACTTTGGGTACCCCATTCCTTCCATCCTCTTGTAACCACTATTGTATTGGGTTGTCAGAAAGTCATGACATATTTTTTCTAGGTTTTTCAAGCAAAAATGCATCATGACTTTTCTGACAACCTAATATTAATCCACTTCTATCCCTTTCATTATTTTCCATGCCTTGTATCAGAGGAATCATGAAGTATTTGTGACTGATTTATTTCACTCAACATAATTTCTTCCTGGTCCATCTACATCAGCACAAATATAGGATGCCCCCCCTTTTTTTTTAAGGTTGAATACTTTTGATTGTTTGTAGATGTCATTTTTTAAAAAAACATTCGTTAGTTGATATACACTTGGGTGCCTTCCACATTTTGGTTACTGTGAATAATACTACAATGAATGTGGAAGTACAGATATCTCTTCAAGATCCTGATTTCAACTTTTTTGGATAGATACCCATAAGTGGAATTGCTAGACTGTATGGCAACTCCAGCTTTAATTTTTTTTAAAGATTTATTTTTATTTATTTATGCATACAAGAATGGAGGTGCAGGGCAGAGGTGCGGGGGGCTGAGAGGATTCACCAGAGACAGAGTGGGGAGCAGAACAGGCAGATTTACTGAATCCACTGCTGAGGGGAGCAGCAGGCAAGACGGGATGGAACTCATGCTGCAATGGCTGCTGATAGCTTGAGGGTGCTGAGACTTTGCCCCTTGTGCCACCAGGGAGGCCCTTCAGTTTTAATTTTTTGAGGTACCTCCATACTGTTTTCCATCATGGCCACAACATCTTACATTCCCAACAACAGTGTAAAAGGTTCTCCCTATCTTTGTCAACACTTGTTATCTTTTTTTTTTTTTTTTTTTGGATAAACATTCTAACAGGTGTGAGGTGGTAGCTCACTGTAGTTTTGATTGCATTTTCCTGATGATTAGCGATGCTGAACATCTTTTCATATTCGTATTGATCATTTCCATGTCTTCTTTGAAGAAATGTTTATTCAAGCCCTTAGCATATTTTTCAGTGCAGTCATTGTTTTTTTGCTATTGAGTTTTGGTAGTTCCTTTTATATATTTGGAAATGAATCCTTTGTCAGATACATGGTATGTAAATACTTTCTTCCATTCTCCAGAATGCCCTTCATACTGTCGTTCCTTTGCTGTGCAGAGGCATTTTAGTGTAATGGAGTTTCCTTTATCTATTTTTGCTTTTGTTATCCTCATTCCTTCTTCATATCAGTACAACCTCACTTCCTCAGGAAAGCACTCCCTGCGCCTCACCCCGACCTCCCACCACAGCACATCACCCATCACCAGCTCTTAGAGAATTTCAGTTTTTCTTCACCTAGCTTGTGATGATGTATTTGTTTGTGGTTATTGTGGAAACATTAAGCTTTAGGAGGGGAAGGACCTCTTCAGTTTTGTGATGTCACCATGTGACATCACCCTGTGATGTCACCATGAGGTCACAGGCTCACCTGAGACACAGGAGCCTGCTGAGTGAATGAGATGGGGCTCACCCACATCTAGTGCCAGATCTGTGAGCAGGCCCTGATGTTCCACATTCAGATGAAGGCTTTCTCTGCTATGCCGGTTTGCGCCTGCTCCAAATCCACTGCTGCTTTTTTCAGATCTCAGTTTCTGACCATCTAGAGATTAAGGCACCATGTCTCCAACCTCTCCTCAAACAGAAAACATTCCGTCTTCATCTCCACAGCCATCTTCTTGCCAAAATAAGCCACAAAAGGTTATGGGAGTGCCTGAATTCCAGCAGGAGTGAAGTCTGTTTTCAGAAGAAAAACAGAGAAAAAGGAAATACCCCAAAATTGTTGATTTGTTTAAACTTCTTCACAAACTTAACAACACAAGGAAACCAACAGAGACAAGTTTGTAATGAAGTAATCAACAGACACTGCTAATATTCCAGTAACATGAAATGATCCCCCACATTTCATAGGGTAGATATGAATAGGGTCATTAAAATATGGCCAAGGAGGGGAGGGAAAGTTTACTTTTTCTGTCTCCTTAGAGTCTGTGTTCTGAAAGCTCAGCAGGAATTTAAACAAATAGCACGGAGGAATGGTGAATCTGATCATATTTAAAGAAAAAGACCCTTTCAAACTTCTCTTCATCTTAATAAATATATAGGCTCCTGCAAATTTTGATTAAAGAAAAAAAATTCTGCAGATCTCTCTCCCCCAAATCTGGAAAGCCTATTTGAGAAAAACAAACTTAGTATCAAATTGTTCTACCTATTTTTTCTCTAGGTCAAGAAGAGCTGTGCTTCTTTCATATAAATGAATGCAAGGCAGGCAACAGGGAATGGGCATCATAATGCTCCCTCTGATTAAAAAGTGAAAAATAAAGTTTAGAGGAGGGTCAATGGTATAGAGACTGACAAAGAGATTCTGTTACAGGGCAACCCCGATATGAAATGGGTTGCCTGACTGTGGGTCCTCACCCGTGCACTTAAAAAGGACTTATAATAATATTCAACTGGAGGCACACACAAAAAGGTTAATAAAGGGTTATTTACAAAAGAAGGGGAAATGAAAGAAAGAATAACTCAAGGGGAAAGAGAGGGCGATAAATTCGTGAATGCGTCCTACCAGTTCAGCTGAGCTGGAATCCCCAACAGCACGCTGAGAGCTGGAGAAAAACCAAGAGCCCCCCAAGGCCCACATGTCTGGTTATATGCGAAACCTGGCTGCTTAACTCCACCCTCAGTTTCCAATAACCCTCCCTTCCACGCTGATGATATTGTGGGGTTTGTAGTTCTTAGTGTCTTGGATATCTTTGGTCTGGAGTGGGGGTGGAGTCCATAAAACCTATTTGTGGAGTTTGCTCGGGACTGCCTTTTCCCCTAACAACTCCTTCAGTAAAATGGGTCTGGGCAGGTAACAACCCCTGGGAGGGTAGAGCGGGTCTCTGAGCTTTTCCTTCCTTTGTTTGCATGCCAGACAGGGTGTAAGTGCAGGGACAGGGGCTGTGGGGAGAGATGCTCTCATCAGTCTCAGTAGGGAGAATCTGACTGAACAACCTACTGGAATACATGGAAGTCGGGTCAGTGCTCTGACCAAGAAAAATTATTTAAGCCTCAGTCTTCTTGCCTATACAATGGGGGAAGAACACCTACCTCGCAGTTTTGCAGACTAAAGAATATAAAGGACGTGTAATGTGTCACCTGTCACATAGTAACTGCTACACAAATGCTAGCAAGGAAAATCAGCTCTGTGGGTCAGGCCCCTGAACCCTGGAGAGGCTGGTGGTCAAGGGGTGGGAGGCGCTTTAGTCAGCTGCCCGCGAGCATCTCCAAGCCAGGGAGCTCACTGCTGGGCTGTGCTGAAGCTGGAGGCCCCCGGTTCGTCACTTCAAAGTTTGCTTAAGCAAGTTCTTTCACACACTCCCCCAGACACACTCTGGCCCGAAAAATTCAGTGAGGTTTTTTCTTCTTTCTTCCTCTGTGGTTGCTGGGTTCTGATTGCTTCCATCTGGCCGCGGCAGCGCGAGTGGAGTCTCTAAAAAAGGCAAAACAAAACAAAAACCCTCCCTACAAGACACACAGGCAGCAAACCTAGGGGCCGGCTTCGTTCTTGCAACGCGCGCTCAGATGGCGACTCGCGCGGGCCGCGGCCGGAGGCGCCGCCGGGACCCCAGCACCTGCGCGGGCCGCCCGCGGGAAGGGGTGCGTGGCGAGGCTGGTCCCCTCCTTTTGCTCCCGCCCCAGGCTTCCGCCCCGGGACTGCGACCCGGACATCTCCCGGAGGAGGGGCTTGGGGAGGGGGAGAGGGCGGGCGATTGCAGAGATTGGAAACAGAGCAGTCCCTGCGCCTCAGTCCCGCGGCTCATCTGACTTGAGTTAGCGGCCCCCACCCACCCCCATCCCCCCAGAGTCTTCCAAAAAAAAAAAAGTACTGGAGACTGAAGTGCTCTTTCGTTCTCGGCTGGAGCTGCCCTCGTAGGTGTGCTTCTCTCCCGCGTGCGGGGGACCAGAGTCCTGGGCCGCTCCCCGCCCCGGCCCCCGGGTCCCCCGGCCGCGTGCGCGCGGCGCGGGCGGGCGCGCGGCATCTGGGGTGCTCGCGCCCGGCGCGCGGGGGCGCTGCGCCGTCCAGGCGGCGCTGATGGATAGCGGGAGTGCCGGCGCTCGCCAGCCGAGGCAGCACGGCTCCGCGGACTTTTTTTCAAACTCCCACCATTGAGACTTCGAGGAGGAGCGCGCGGCGGCGGCGAGGGCGGACGCGGAGCAGCGCGAGGAGGCGCCGCGGGAGCCGCGAGAACCCGGGGCAGGAGCGCGGGCCACGCGGCGCGCCCGAGCCGCCCGGAGCTGCCCGTCCGCGGCCGCAGGGCCGGCCCGGCCCCCGCCCGCCGCCGCCGGGTGCCCTCCCCTGCGCGCTCGCCCCGCCCCGGCCGGGCCGAGCCCGGCACACGGCAGCCCGCGGCGGTCCCCGCGCAGCCGAGTTGGGATGGGGGCCCGCCGCCCGCGCCCGGCGCCCGCGAGGCCACCTGCGTGCTAGAGGCAAACTTTTGTCTCCCTCGGTAAAGTTGCCTTGGCCTTCTTTTGCTTGCTTTTCGTGGCGAAGTGTCTTCTGCCCGGCCAGCCCGGGCCGACGGGGATGCGGCGTCGCGCGGAGGGGCTGGCGCGGTACCCACGCCTTCCGCGCGGGGAGCCGGGCGCCGGGCTGGGGGGTCGGGCGCTAGCGGGGCGATCCCGCTTCGGGCCCCGGCCAGGCTGGGCGCGGACGTGTGCAGGGAGCCAGGGGGCTGGAAACTTGTGGCTCGGGTCGATGGCGCATCCTCCCCACCCCCTGCTTCCACCTGGGTTTGTAAAGGCCTCTCGCGTCCCGGGCGCATCGCCGGGCCGGCCCGGGGTCCGTCTCCACCTTGCCCGCCCCTGGGGCTGTTTTCTGGGGTGGAGAGAGTGGCACCTGGAGGCGGGGGGGCGCGCGGAGGCGGGATACGGGTGCGTGTCTGAAAGGCGTGTGCGGTGAGTGGAGGCTTCGGGCCGCCACTTGGGAACTTCAGAGTGCACTTCTCTCGGCTCCCGGCCCCGAGCCGTGCCTTTCTTTCTTGCTCGCTGCTACCTCCGCTGGTCAGGCCCCCTCCCCCTCCGTGGGGCTCCCCCCCCCCCCAGCTCCCTCCTGGCTCCTCGCCTCCTCCTCCTCGCGGCCCTCCGCCCCAGATCCGCTGGACTTCCCGGAGGGATCCACGCGTAATCCCTCGCCCCGTCCTCCGGTCCCCCACCCTTCACTTTCATCCCCACCCCCAATCTTCATCTCCCCCTGCCCCCCCCCGCCCCCAGCGGCAATCTCTCAACAAGTATATTTGCTGAGGAATTTGAAAAATCCACTACTGCAACTTGATCTGTGTGTGATGGATGGGGAGAGGCGCGGAGAGAGTTGGGCGCCAATCCTATTAAGGGTTTAGGGAGGGGAGCGCTTTCCTCGGACGGGGGTGGAGGGGAGTGGGGAGGGAGGGGGAAGGGAGCGTGTGCTGGTGTGTGTGAGTGTGAGCGCGCCCGCCGCGCCGGGGAGCTGGAAGTCCACCCAACTCTGCCTTCCCGGCCCTGCTGGAACTGCTGTCTGTCATATCCGAGGAAACCCCACTTTAGCTGCGCGGGTAGCTGGAGACGGAGCCCGCGCGCCTCACCCCGGGTGACCGGCCGCAGAGGCGCCCGGGGATCCTGGGCCACCCCCAGGGTGCTTCCCCCCCCCACCCCGTTCCCCTCTCTCGGTGGAAATTTTAGGTGGCTCTCAGAGGGAGTGGATCCCGGCTGGAAAGGCAGACCTTTGCCTGGAGTCTGGGCCCGGGCCCTGGGGTGCTCTTTTGCGCTTCTCCCACCCGCCCAGCCCGTTGGGTGCACGGTCTCCAGGCCCGGACTTTGCAGCCCCGCGGTGGCCGCAGCCGCGTCCTGGGCCCCCGCCCCGCCGCCCCCGCCGGGCGTGTGAAGGTTTAATCCCGACAGCTTCAGATAAAGGGAGCAGTTGTAAAACGCTCATATGCTGTTTGCAGACGAGGCTCTGGGGGATGTTGGAGAATTTGAAAGTAAACGTTTCCCTCGCAAGCGGCATAAAATAGTGTTTAAACAAATATTGTATTGGCATGCTCAGGGGGCTCGGTGCCAAAAAGTAAAGTAAATAAACTGTGAAATCCAAAATATACAGCGGTGGAAAGCGGCCGAATAGGCAGGCCTGTCACACGCCTCCCCGAGGAGATCTATTTGTTCTAGCCACCTCACCTACAAGCCCCCTCCATGCCCTTTTCCTTACCTCGGCTGGGAGTTGCTATCCCGGGGTTTCCCTGTGTCTGGGGGCAGCTTTGCAGTTGCTCTGTAGGGAGGAAATTCTTAGTGTGGCTACTTGGGTGGGTCTCCCTAGGGGAGGTGAGTTCTGGTGTTGTGTAGGCTTTTCCCAGCTTCTGGTATGCCCTGGACAGTAATTCTAGAATGGAGACCCTGCAGATGTGTTCCTTCCAGGGCCTCCCTCCTCCTTGCGCCTCTGACCTCCTTGCTCCTTTTTCCTCATCATCTTTCTTGCTTTCGTTTTCCAAGGCTTGCCGCTTCTCCCACCCACGGCAGAGGGTTACGGGAAATTGTGGAACTGTTCTTCCAGATTTAAAATCCACTCCAAGTTAAACATGGAAAGTTGTCACTTGTCTGATGAGTTTCACAGTTAATTTTGTAACATTTTGGGTGGTTTTGTATTTCCCTTCAGTTTTTCGGCATATGCTGATTTTATGAGGTTAGTTAGTGATTCTGGAGGGATGTACACAAATGCGGGGGGAATCCCACTGAGGTCAGGCGTCCTCCTGCTCGGGAGAGGGCTCCCAGAGGAAGCCGGCCCTCCTTGACCTGGGTTGTGAAGGAGAGACTGGCAGTTCTGTTGTCAAAGTCACTTGGAGAGAACGAGAGTAAGAACACTCTCCAGCCAAGGCTTGGGGCACGGAGGAACAAAATGAGACTGTTAGAGGCGTTTTTATCCTCCGTGGGAATTGTTCTGAGGGGAATATGAACAGGGTTAGGTCCCTTCAACACAGCCTGGCAGGCTGTTCCCCAGTTCACACTGACCCTGGCGGTGGCCTCAGAGGGAACTCTTGACTTGGCTCACCTTGAAGTGTCCTGCAGTTGGAAGAGGCCCAGGAGGGGCGGCCTCTGATGGAGTGCCTCTCCACTCTCAGGGCCGCTTTAGCCCACTTGTGGGCAGAGCATTGAGCAGAGAGGAAACCCTTTGAGTGGCCTGCTCGGAAGAGGGGGCCACAGTGCCGCTGGTCAGCGGCTCATGGCCTGACTTCGGGGGTCTCGGGGGCTGTGTACTGTAGCTGGTTTGTTTGCACTGCAGACTGAAAAATACACAAATACTTCATGCTTTTTGTACTCCTACAAGTGCCCTGTACACAGTGCAGACCCTGGGGCTGGATTAGCAAACCAGGGGATTCAGCAGGCAGGCAGACAAAATTGGATATTTGCCTAATAAACACCCTCTGCCATGGGAGGGGTGTCGGTCGCCAGGGGGTGGGTGGCGGAGAAACTTTTTCTACCCTCGCCAGCAATTCCCTTGAAATTAAGAGACCAGGAGTTTGTCTTGTGCGCTTTCAAAGCCTGTGTGACCCTTACACATCTAAATGGCATTTGAAAGCTCCAAACCCGAGGCCTACATCCTTGTGTACTCTAGGGGCAGGGCAGTCTGCCTCTGCCTGTGGAAAGTGTGTGTGGAGCAGGGCTTCCTTTTATCTAAATGACGCTCAGGACACACTTGCTTGAGGGAGGTGTGGTGAACCAGCCTTGCTTCTTGACGTTGTGGGAGGGTCTCCTACCTGTGCCAAGGCCTGTATGCTGGTGCATGAGGGACAGCCCGGCCAGAAGGACCTAGCTGTGGACAGCTGCAGCTGCTCCTGCTGGGCCAGGGCCCTTTGAAAAGGAACCCCGGGGAAGCAGTTCCCCCCTTTCTTCTTTTCAGTAAGTGTCAGCGGCATGGACAAATGAAACACGTGAAGAATGCCAAAGAGAGAAACTGTATTCTCCGATTCCTGAAAATTCAGAGAGGCAGAATAGGTGATTGTAGCAGCTACGAGAATATGCAGCAACTTTGGTGAACAAGGCTCACTGCCTTCCACAGACCAGGGGGAGGAAAGCCGATCTGTAATTGTTTCCTGGGGCTTGTTTAACACAGTTGGGAAAGGTTCCTGGATGCACTGCCGTTTGGCAGTGTCTTTTGGTAAAGAGCAACAGCTTTAGGGTTTTTAAATAAACACAAGATACCAGACTCAATATTAATATTTCCTCTAAAATTAATTTGAGTGTTTGTTGGACTATAAAGGACTCTGAAGAAAAACAAAGCACTGATCATTGACCTTTGTTTTTATATTCCTAGGATGAGAAAAACGTCCTTAACCTACAAAGCTTGTTTGTAAACCCTGGGCAAGTAGACCGGTGGTAGCAGCAGACTTACTGCGCGTTTAGTACCTTATTTTTCCTCAATTCCTTCATCAACAAAAGCATCCTTGGTAATCCTGCTTGTGTCCCGATTCTGGTTTCTTAAAAAAACATGCAAACAGGGGGGAGAGGGAAGAGCTCATTTAAAATGTGACCAGAGAGGACATAGGAATTAAACTGTGTTTTAGAGTTTGGTTTAAATCAAGTAAGTTAATGTGGTTTTGTGTGTGTGCATGTGTGTTGTTTAAGAAAACTCAGGTTGCTGGGAAGTGTGTTTTAACTGTGAGTGCCGGGTTTCATGCATTAGCATAAGAAAAAAGTTTTAGTGCATTTGCTATTGTCTTGAATGAAGAGTTTCAGCAAAGGGAAGGAAGGCCCAAAAGGGTGATGGTCCATTGAGATTCTTCAGCAGCCCCCAGCACGTCATCTGCCTCTGAAATCTGTGATCGGATATCACTTTTATCTTGCTTTTCCATTCTCTGGCCTTTTTCACACGTTCACTTTTGTCAAGGTTTATTGATTATGTTTTCTTCTCTGCAAATCTGTGGAAAATTTAATGAACCAAAAACAGCAGTGACATAAAGGGGACTTTTTATTCATTAGCACGGGATTGATTTCCCCCCTTTGGGCCAGGGCCCCTGGCCTCCCGAGAGTGAGCTCTGAGGAGGAAGGGCTGGTGGACTGCTTGGGCTGAGGCGGGGCCTCCCTAGGCTTGTGGCCTCCAGACTGACCACTACAGGCCCAGCTGGAGACCCCTGTCCCCAGTGAACATTAAAGGGTCCCCCACAATGGCTGCTCCAGGTCGGCGGGAGCCCGCCACCCCACAGACCCCAGCCGGTGCTCCAGGACCCTGGCTCAGTGGGCTTGGGGGTGGTGGTCGTGGAGATGGGGGATGAGGGGGATATGTGTCCCCCCTAACCTTGCAAACCATCGGAGTGACTGAGCCTTTACCAGGGACACAGTTAAGTATCTCTCTTCCTCGTTCCCAGCTCCCAAACCTGTAATTAAGCAAAGCCCCTAGTGTGATTAAGCTCTGCTGACTCGGCGCTGAGTTTGGAGCCGCTGGCTTGCGTCTCTGAAACAGGGCTACCTCTTGCTCTTTCCAGACGCTGCCTGGCCTTGGGGGTACAGCTCTGTTGCACCCAGGCCTGTCTCCTCTTACTCTTGGCTCTCGATGCTTCTCTCTCTTTGTCTCCTTCTCTTCTGCCTCTCTCTCCCCGCTCCCTTCTCCCTAGCCCTCCCCTCTGCGACGGTTGCTCTTTCCTTTCCTCCAGCATCTCCCCATTCTGCTTCCTCTACCAGGCTGTCTTTCCTTGCACCCACCAGCCTCCCCTCCTGGAGTTCTCCTGGAGGCAGCACGCCCAGGCCTCGGGGACCGAGTCTGTGTCGGGAACGAACAATGGCCACATTGTTCGGGCCGCCCGCCACAGGCTGGACCCTGCTCGTGGCGAGTCGGGAAGAGAGCCAGCCAGGGGGAGGCCCGCGAGGGCCCCGCCGCCTCCAGGCAGCCAAGAGCAGGGAGCCTCGGGCACCCCCTGCGCCCTCCGCCAGGGCCGCCTTTTCCAGAAGATGCTCCTGCCGTGCAGCTGCCAGGCGCCCTCCACGCCCAGGCCCCCCTCCCTGCCTCCCTGGGGAGGGGACTCCAGCTTGGGCTGCACTTGCAGCCAGAATCAGGAGCTGTTCACCAGAGCTAGGAGAGGCGCAGGCCACGCTGCCAAACTTTTGGGGGCGTCGGGAACTTTTCCATCTTTCAGACTGACTATGACTGCTGCCACGGGGGGCTCCTTTTGCCCTGTCCCCACCGCAAAGGCAGGGTAGGAAGGATGCCCGCTCCAGATAGCACCCTCCACCCCCGTTTCTTTTGACCTGTAAGGGATTCCAGAGCTCTCAGTGCTCAGAAAAAGAAAGATCTTTGAATGCTTAGGATGTTAAAAGAGCATCCGTCCCGGTTCCAAGCAGATGCTTAGCAGTGCGTCTTTGTGCGGCGGACAATGCAATAAGTCAGCCCGACTTTTGAGCCACATTTATAAGGAACTGTAAGGGCCGCTCAAGTACACTTGTGCTAAGTTGAATTGATTGAAATTTAATGGCGGTTAGTGGCGATGAATGGTAATGATTTTCCAGCGTATCTTTGGCATACTTGACATTAATAACTGGAGAGTGTGTGTGCACCCGCGTCGGGAGCCTGCCACACACGTGAGGCCGTGGCATTATTCATTTTGCGAGATGCCAGTCCTTGGCCTCCTTCTTCTCCTCAAATCCTTTTCCTTCTCACCATAATTCAGTTGTTCAGATGATTTAAAAAAAAAAAAAAAGGAGAAGAAGGAAAGAGAAAAATCTTTCTCCATTGAGCATGTACATCATATCAACATAATTTTGCGCTCATGATTTTTTTCAATTCCTACATAAATCAGCTTCTAATATACAGAATGTGATGAATTTGTTTTAGCTGCCATCATGAATTAATGTTATGCAAATAGAAGCTTTGCAGGTGAAATGATTTACTTAATAATTTCAACTTCTAATATTTAAACTCATTCATTATGTGGGGAGTTAGAAAAAAAAAAGTCCATATTTTTAAACCTGGGAGATTAGTATGCAAGTATTTGCTGTGTAGGCAGACTTTGATGGCCAGAAAATAGCTCTTAATTTGTTGATTCTTTGAGAGTCTACAGTCCGCCAAGCAGTGGCTTAAGAAAGGGGCCGAGGAGGGGACAGAAGTCTGACCAAGTTCAGTCTAGAGGAGGACACGCATGCATTTAAATAACTCCAATATGACCGTCCAGGTGCCATATCCTATGGGGCTGATGGAGCTTTTTTGAACTAGCCTTGAAGGATGAGTATGAATGAACCCAGTGGAAAAGGGTCAAGGGGTTCTGATGCTCCTTGTCCCATCTTTGTCATTTGCTAGTTAAGACCATGTGAAGAGCAAGTCATTGATACCTACCGCTGAGGTGGCAATGGTGCAGAAAGTTGAGAGGAAGACCTTCTCCCCGACCTCCAGCCC